TGTCAACCAAGCCCGCCCTTGACTCTTTTCTTTTGTTCAGTTCAACAACCGTTTGTTGCCTACCTTCTCACCTCTCACTTACTACTTCCCACCTCCCCCCACTCATCCCACCTCCCACCTCTCACACCTCCCACGTCCCATGTTCCTCTCCTCCACCATCTTCTACCCCCACTCCCCTCCTCACCCGCACCTCCCCTTTGAATTTCGCCACTGTTTCCCCTCAGACTGGCACCTGCAAATACGGGGTGACTTGTAAGTTTGACCATCCACCCCCCGGCGAGGTGGCAGCCAAAGCTGCTGCTGAAGCTGCCGCTGCTGCAATGGTAGGTGCGGCGGCAAGCAATAGCGGAACTGTAAAAGCAGAGGCGGAGGAGGTGAAGGAGGAGGGGACAGGGAAGGAAATTGAGAAGGAAGACGAGCAGAAGGAGCAGGTTGGTGCTGAAAATCAGCATGGGGTTGACCAGGAAGTAGAGTAGGGCAAGGCCGGAGGAGGTGAAGGTGTGGTGGGATGGGCTCATGCCTTCGGTTTGCTATGCCAAAATTCTCCAGGTGTGGTTTTTTTTTTTTTTTTTGCTGTTTAGAGAAAAGACATGCGGAATTTCATTGTGAATGTGAAGGTATGCAATCTAGGATGCCAAGGAGAGTGTTTTCCTGTAGGCTGACTTTATGCGAGTCAAGTGTACATTGATGAAGCGGAATGGTTTCGCGTCACTTATTCTTAGTTCTTTCGTATTCTGTGGTTCCATCCCCCAGGTTCTTTGTTCAAGCGGCGGGACCGCTCTAACGAAGCGAAGCGACGCTTCTAATCGACGGCGCTGGCTCAACACAGCTTCAGCGGCCAGCGTCGTCCGATGAAGCATCGGGGATTTGGATCTGCCACGTGCTGGTTTCAGACTCGTCAAGGTTGCTCCGCGTGTCGGCTCCGCCGGCGGCTCAGCGAACGAGAAGCCAAAACTCCAGCAACTTCGCCACATCGCTGAGATTTCTTCGCGAAGGCTGCGCACCATCGCCATGTGGATCTGCATCGACGGCGACGATCGCCCTCGTCACACACCGATTTTCGTTCACTTCTCGCCTCCCACACGCGAAAACAACCAAGTGAGTCCGATAGTCGTCAAAGTCGTCTTGAAATTCGCCCGTCGTCCAAACCGCGTCGCGCCACATTCGCCCCAACTTCCGCCCATCCCTTGCATCCGCGTCGCGCCAGATTCGCCCTGCATCAAATCCATCCCCACACGCCGTCTTCCCCTCCCCTACTCCCCCTTCGCAGCCTCCTCTCGCCCCTCTCGACTCATTACGCGCCTCTCCCCTTCCCGCGCCAATCTTTCCCTTCCCGCACGCGCTTCTTGTTCCCTTCACCTTCTGCTAGCAAGGAACCTCGCCTCGTCATCACAGCCCCGAATCCAAGCACTTCCCTTCCCACCACCATGGCTCGTCTCACAATCCCTCGCGGGGAATGCACACACCACTTTCTCTATGCAAAGCCACGCGTACCGAGTACGCGTGGAATGGTTCGGTAAGCAATCGCTCCGCTACCGTCGCCTTCTCTTCATTTTCGCCTATTGGCGACCTCTCATGTCTCTGCACCGCGACTACATTTTCTGAGGGACCTCGGGGAGTGAAGTAAACCCGTTAATTACTGACTGCCGTTAATTACTGACTGCCGTTAATTACTGACCGACTAACTGACTGACCGACTGACCGATTCGACCTGCTTGGCTCTAAAAACTGACACTCTCGCTAGCTGGCTTCAAGAAGTTATCGTCTTCCTCCGAGCATTCAGTGACTGAATAGTTCCCGGTAGGATATACAGCCCCTCGAACCGTCCATTCCTCGAGAGCCGCGGCGCTGTCTGTATTATCATTAGTTCACGTGACAGTCGTTTATTCCTCCGATATTTCATTCCAAAAAAAAAAGCACCCACACATTTATTGTATCTCATTCCGATCTTTATCGTCTCAGTCATGTACCACGGTGCCACTCTCGGCGACGAAATCCCGAGCCTTCGCCTCAGCGCGATCGCCAGCGACCCGTCGCCTGCGACGTCGCTGCACCTGCTCCCCACCTGCGAAATCTGCAGCGACGTCGTCGGCTTATCGTCGTCGCCGGCGGAAGACGACGGGCGACGGCGGCCGTTCGTCGCATGCTCTCGCTGCGGCCTCTCCTTCCCCATCTGCCGCGCGTGCGTCGCGTACGAGCGCAAGCACGGCGCCAACGCGTGCCTCAGGTGCAACCTTCCGTACGACTGTAACGAAGGGAGTGATTGCAACGAAGCGAGTGACTGCAGCTCATCGTTTTACGACGTCGAAACGCGTCGCGGCGGCGCTGCCGCCGCTGCGGGAGCTGCTACTCTCGGAAACAATCCAGGGGCGGATGGATGGGAGCTTCATGGTTTGGAGAGTGAGGGATCCTGGGCCGGCAGCAGTAAGGCCGGCAGCAGTGGTGCGGGACGAGAGCGCGCGTCCGATGGTGATGCTCACTCCACGACCGCGGAGAGGGCGGAGCGGGCGGAAGGGGCGGGGCGGGCGGAAGGGGCGGAAGGGGCGGAAGGGGCGGGGCGCGCGGAAGGGGCGGTGCGGGCGGAGAGGGATGCGACAGCTGCTGCTGCTGCTGCTGTTCCTGCCACGGGCGCTGGTGCTTCAGTGGCTATGGAGCGACGTTTCCAGTGGCAGATTGAGCAGCAGGAGGAGACGCAGCGGCAGTCATGGGATTATGCTTGGAAACCACAACACCTGCCCGCACACCTGCCCTCTCGCATGCCCGCTCGTGTGCCGGCGCGCCTGCCCTCTCGCCTGCCCGCCTCCGCCTCATTTCCTCGAACTGCGCGTTCCTCTCCCACGCCTTACCCTCCGTCGTCTGTTGCCGCAGCAGCTGTTGCAACACAGGTGCAGCAGCCACAGCAGCAGCAGAAAAGGCAACAGCACGAGGATCGCCCCGTAACCATCCCCATCCCTCGCATTGCTTCCTTCTCTTCCATCCCCAACATCCCTCCCATCCCTCCTTTCGATCCTGCCACGCCTACCAAGCAACCCACTCAATCCTCCACCACCACCACCACCTCCTACTCCTCTGCCTCGTCTGCCTCCTCTGCTTCAACATTTCCTGACGCGCGCGCCCGCGCCTTATCCCCCTCCGCCTCCCCCTCAGTCTCCCCCTTCCCGTGGGCGGCAAACCGCTCCCCCTGCACTCCCCTTCCGCCTTCCCCTTACATGCTCCGCGGATTATCCTCCCCATCTTCCCCCTACACACCCACCTACCCCCCTCTGGTGAATCTCCCCCCTCCTGCTCTTCCTAACAACACTCTACATCACACCACACCCAATCCTTCTGCTGCTTCTCCCCACTCTTTCCCCTCCCACGTTCCCAATGCAACTCACAATGCTATTGCACCTGCTGCCACCGTTCCTCCCCCTTTCAAACTGGCCGAAAGTGCAATAATGCCAGCACCACCACCAGCAGCAACAGCAGCAACAGCGCATGCGATGGTACCCGCTCCTCTAGGCAACCTCTTAAAGCCTCTGACGCGGGAGCAGCAGCTGCTGCTGTGGCAGAAGGAGCAGGAGAGGCGGGCGAGGGAAGGAGCAGGAGGAGTGAGGGCTTTAGACCCTGAGAAAGACCAAGCAGTGTATGGGTATGGGAGTGTGGTGTGGAAAGGGAAGGGAGGGAGACGCAGCGGAGGGAAGGCAGAAGTAGCTGCTTCTGCTGCTGATGGTACTGCTGCTGTTCCTTCGCCCATGCCTCTTCCTCTCCCACCTCTCCCATCCACATCTCCCGCCTCTGACTCTTCTGCCCATGCTCCTGCTGCCGACTCTCCTGCATGCGAGTCTGCACAGAAAGCAGTAGCGCCATACCTGTCCCAGTCCCAGGCCCATCTCGCCCTGTTACCCACCAATACCGGGCCAAACAACCTCACAGTCGCCGTAAACGAGCCGTGCTATAACGGGTACAGGAAGCTTCACACTGGGAGGTGTACACAAGGAGTGGGAGCTCACGAGGAGGAGGGGGAGGAGAGGGAGGAGGAGGATGATGATGTTCCTGCAGCTGATGAATCCCGGCAGCCACTTTCCCAGAAGGTTCGCCTCCCAGCGTCTCTGGTCAACCCATACCGACTCGTTATAGTCCTCCGCCTTATAGTCACAATCCTGTTCCTGCGCTGGAGAATCCTCAACCCCAATACAAAATCCATCCCCCTATGGGCTACCTCGGTAGCGTGCGAAATCTGGTTCTTTCTCTCCTGGATTTTCGACCAGTTCCCTAAATGGACTCCGGTCAAGCGAAGAACCTTTCCGGGCAGGCTGTCGGTCAGATTTGAAAGCTCTGCTTCTGGGGAGTCCGGGCTCGCACCGGTGGACGTTTTTGTCTCTTCTGGGGACCCTAGATCGGATCCCCCCCTTACCACAGCCAATACCCTCCTTTCCATACTCGCTATGGACTACCCCACTACCCGTGTATCGTGCTATCTCTCCGACGAGGGCGCTTCTCTACTGACCTTCCAAATGGTGGGTCTAGTTGCGGAGTTTGCCCGTGTCTGGGTGCCCTTCTGCAAGAAATACAGCATAGAGCCGAGAGCACCTGACGTGTACTTCAAGCAAAAGGCATTCCCAGGAGGAGGAGGAGCGGGAGGAGGGGGGAAAGGAGGAGTGAATGGGGGAGGGGCTGCCGTTTATGTTGGTGTTGCCGGTGCTGAAGCCAGTGCTGGCAGTGCTGCTGATAATCGTAGCGGCTTCAGCAACTGTGGATTCTCCGATGATGCAGCAGCAGGGTCTTGTGCGGACACTCCCAGCGGTGGGTGGGGCAGCAGCAGCACAACCAGCAGAAGCAGAATCAACAGTAGCAGCAGCAGCAGCAGCAGCGGCGGATTGAGCTACCTGGCCTCGCAGACCCACCCTTCTTTCCTCACGGATCGGCGTGCTGTGAAGTCCGCGTGGGAGCAGACCAAGCTTCGGCTGAACAAGATGAGCGCGAGGTGGGAGGAGGGTGTGGAGAGGGGCGAGTGGAGCATGGACGACGGTATGCCGTGGCCAGGGAGTAGAGCAAGGGACCACCCTGCCATGGTGCAGGTGTTTCTGGGTCCGAGCAGTGGGGATGGTGGGGGTGCTGGTGCTGCTGTTGGTGCTGCTTTGGGTGAATCTAGGAAGGGGACGGAAGGGTGCGGTGAGAAGGGACCTGGGGCAGCAGGGAACGGAACTAAAAACAAAACAGAGAAGGCAGCAGAAGAGGGATCACAGAAGGGCGATTCTAAACCCAAGGGGGTTACTACAGAAGCCAAGGAACCTGCAAGTGGGACAGGAATTGCGGAGGAGGAGGGTGTAGATCTGCCTCGACTGGTGTATGTAGAACGGGAGAAGCGGCCTGGTTACAACGAGCACGGCACAGCAGGGGCGCTGAACGCCCTTCTGCGCGTCTCCGCTCTGCTCTCCAACGCGCCCTTCCTCCTCACCCTGGACGCCAATCACTATGTCAACAACGCAGCGGCTCTTAGAGAGGCCATGTGCTTTCTGATGGATGGGAGCGGGAGCAGGGGCGCGGACGTGGGTGGGGGCGGCGGAAATGGGGGTGGGATGGGGGAAGGAGTGGGGAACAACTGCTGCTTCGTGCAGTTCCCGTTGCGGTTTGACGGAGTGGATGAGAGCGACCGATACGACAACCACAACACCGTCTTCTACGATGTGAGTATTCTGTGCCAGCTCCGTTTCTCGAGTTTCTAGAACAGAATATCCAGTTTCTCGTGTTCTTTCCAGTGCTCCGTCCTCTTCCATCCCTTGCTCTTCTCAGCTGCATATGTCTGCTCTGGACAGCATTCAAGGCCCCGTGCTCGTCCAATCAAGGCCCACGCACTCAATCCATTCCTCCTTTCCCTCCCTTTCCCCCTTTTCCTCCCTTTTCTCCCTTCCCTCTGCCCTGCCTCCCATCCTCTACCGTTCTCTCAGTTGCAAACGCCTGCTCTGGACGGCATTCAAGGCCCCATGCACATTGACTCGCGTTACACTCAATCCTTTTCCCCCGCCTTTCCCCCTCTCCCTCTGCCCGTATCTCCCTCTCTTTCAGCTGCAAACGCCTGCTCTGGACGGCATTCAAGGCCCCATGCTCGTGGGATCAGGCTGCTGTTTCCGCAGGCAGGCACTCTACGGGGGTAAACCCCCTGGGGCTCAGGATAGCAGCAGGACTACCCGCAGCAGCAATAGCAGCAGGAGGAGTGGCAAGAGCAGCAAGAGCAGGAGTAGGAGCAAGGGCGGCAGCGGCAGGAACAGCAGCATCAGTGGCAGTAGCAGCAGACACGGATTACAGGGGAGTAGCATCGCCAGCAGTGCCAACGACAGCAGCAATGCGACTAAGACTAGCAGCGGCAACGTCAGTGGCACCGCCAATCCAAGCAGCACCAGCAGCACCAGCGGCACCAGCAACACAAGCAGCACGAGCACATTCATCCGCGGCCTTTCCTGGTTCTTCTGGGGACGGAGAAAAGCCCAGCAGGAGAAACCGGGCAAGGCAGAGGCAAGGGCAAGCACAGCACCAGGAGAACCAGAAACAGGTGGTAGCAGTGGCGATGTTGGTGGCGGTGGTGGTGGGGAGGTTGTAGTGGAAATTGACAGGGACACCCGTTTGGATACAATGCGCAGGCGAGGCGGCAGCACCACCTCCATCTCTGCTGCTGCTGCTGCTGCTGCTCCTTCCCCTGCTGCTGCTTCCTCTGATGCTGATGGTACAGCTACCCGCTCCTTAGTGCCCGTCTCACACTACCATCTCAGTGCCTTCCATGGCAAAGCCAACCCACACGCCACAGCAGCTACTGCCGCTACAGCCGGTCCCGCTGCTACAGCTGCTACAGCTGCTACAGCTGGTAGAGCCTATGAGGAGGATACAGAGGATGCAGAGGACACGGAGGCTACTCCACTGATGGAGATGAAGCGGTATGAGCGTCGGTTCGGCAAGTCCCCTCTGCTCATCCTCTCCTCCTTCCATGACGCCCGCTTCACACCGGCAGCGAGAGCAGCAGGAGGAGCATCAAAACCAGCAGCAAGAGCAGCAACAAGAGCAGCAACAAGAGCAGCAACAAAACGCTCCTTTTCAGGCACATGGAGCAGCACGGCACTCGTCTCCCAAGGAACTCTCCTCAAAGAAACCATTCGGGTGCTCTCCTGCGGATACGAGGATCACACCGACTGGGGCAAGCATGTAGGATGGCTCTACACCAACCCACTCGCGCACCCGCTCGTCACCGGTCTCACCCTGCACTCCCGAGGCTGGCGGTCCGTCTACTGCTGCCCGCCCCGCGCTGCTGTCATCGCCGCCTCCTCCTCCTCCTCTTCCTCCTCCCTTTCCTCGCCCCCCTCCACATCCACTTCCTCCTCCTTCTCCTCCTCCTCCTCTGCCTCCCCTGCTTCTTCAGCACACCTGAACCTCTCAGACCGCCTACACCAGGTGCTCCTCTCATCTATCGGAGCAACAGAGCTCGCTCTCTCCTCCCGCTCCCCCGTCTGGTTTGGCCTTCGCCACGGCCGCTTAAAGCCCCTGCAAAGAATCGCCTACATCAGCACAGTCCTCTCTCCCTTCACCTCGCTCCCTCTCCTCCTCTACTGCCTCCTCCCCGGCCTCTGCCTCCTCTCAAACTCCTTCATTCTTCCTAAAATCACCACCACTGCAGTGCTTTACCTGCTGGCTCTTCTCGCGGTGGTGATGGGGACTAGTGTGCTGGAGGCGCAGTGGGGTGGGGTTACACTAACGGACCTGTGGCGGGCGGAGCAGTTGTGGGTGGTCAGTGGTGTGTCTGCGCACCTGTTTGCCGTTGTGCAAGGGGTTCTGAAGGTGGTTGCTGGGATCGACACCAGCATCGCGGTGAAAGAGAATCCGAGCAGTGCTGCTGCTGGTGCTGGTTCTGCTGGTTCTGCTGGTGCTGGTGATGATAAGGATGGGGAGCATTCTGATTTGTACACCTTCAAATGGACTGCTCTCCTCCTCCCGCCTGCCTTGGTGGTGGGATTCAATACAGCAGGAATCATTGTGGGAATTGCCCAGGGTCTAAATGGAGGAATAACTGCGTGGAAAATGATGCTCATAAGGGTGGCCTTCGCCCTGTGGGTGATCATGCATCTACACCCTTTTATTAAGGGTTTCTTCGGTAAAGAAAGGCGGCTTCCTCCTCTCGTCCTGATATGGGGCGTTCTGCTGTCATCGGTGCTGACGCTGCTGTGGGTGAACATTGATCCTTTTGGATATCACTTCAAAGGGCCTGATCCTGTTCTATGTGGTATTCGTTGCTAAAGCTCGTTTTGTGGCTTAGGATGTAGTTAAGTTGTTATGCAGCTTAGGTTGAATAACCTTGGCTCATAATGCGGTTGTAGTAGAGATTAATGCTGCTGTTTTACTATTACTAGGTTAAACACAACGTGAAGCATGTTAATTTGCTGGTAGACTACCATATAACCACAAAGCATGGGCATGTTTCTGGTTCGTCTCTTACACAAGGATGCATGCGCTTTTATAAAATTGTTCAGTAAGCGTAAGGGCGCAGACTATAAGTAGGGTTTCCCGCCCTCGATCATTGAAGGCACTGGGGGGAGCGTGAGGCTGAAGCTGGGGGGGGCTTGATTTGGCCGTCCGTGTACATTTACGGGCTGAGAGGGCGGGGAGGGGAAGTGGGTTGCGGGCAGTCAGCGTTACTTTCACGCGAAGTCCGGTTTGGCTGGTCGTTCGGAGGAATTCTACTCGGTTCGGGTGAGTAGTCAAGGCTTGCCAGCTTCTGCATTATTGAAGGCAAGGCCCATGTGTAACCTCCCGCTGAATCCAAATCTGGATGAGTCGACAAGCGTCAAGCGCACGCAAGCCGCGCCAGTCTCCCCTGCGCGCCAATTTCTCCTGAGCGCTAGTTTCCCTCTTCTCCTCCCCCAAACCCGATCCATCTCCTTTTCCCGCCAATCCCACTCCAGCGCACCCAATCACACCATTCCCTCCTGACGGGGCCGAACGAGAGGCAAACAGCAGTTTGACGGAAGTCGTCTATAGGCTTACGGAAAGGTGCAATGTAAATAAATGGAGTTCCATTTCGCGGTCCAACCAAATCCAGCTTTGAGTTCAATCAATTTTCAGTCAGTCCAGCCCGGCAGCTCCCCGTAAGCCCTAATCTATAATTCCACCATTTCCACCATTTCCATTATAGTTCCAGGCGATCTCCATTTCTTACAAATCTTCTCTCGATACCCTAGTTTCTCACCTTCAGCCGCCGCAAACCCGATTAGCAGCGCATTCCGCGGCGTCGCGTCATTGGAAACGCGGCCTGTGACCTGTTGTATTACTCAATTCGACTTTCACGTCTCAGGCGAGCAAAGCTTGAACATGGCGGATCTCGTCGCAAATCTCCTGCCCGCATCTCACGCTGCAGCGAGCAACCCGCGCAACCGGGCGAATTTTATGAAAGCCGCGCGCGGCTTTTCCTCCGAGCTAGCGAGCCTTCACGAAGCGTTTCGCGATTTTCAGGAGGACCATCGCCGGAACGTCGCGTCTGCGGATCCCTCGAAGTTGCGAGCGATGGAAGTTGAAGCTGCGAAAACGCTCGCGAGGAATCATCAGTTACTGCGCGGTTTTCGGCGACAATTGGTAGAGCTGATGTCGGATAATCAAGTCAAGGTTTCAGTTTCCGGGAGCGAGGCTATGGAAAGCTGGCGTTCCCAGCAGCAACTGATCCGGCAGCAGCAACAACTTCGCCAACAGCAGCAGCGGCAGCGGCAGCGGCAGCGGCAGCAGCTGAATCATCAACCTGATGAGCAGCACTCGCCTGAGAATGACAGTCAATCACAGCCCCTTCCCGCTCACGAGCTCCCAGACGCTGTGATCGACGAAGGGATGGTGGACGCGGGTGGAGTTCAGGAGAACGAGCGCGGACCTGAGATTGGAACTAGCTCAAGTGTTGTCTTGGGTATTGGCATCAATGGGGGTGCCTCTGCTGGAGCAGCCAGTGCTGCTGATGCTGCTGCTGCTGCTGCTGCCGCTGGTGCTAACAGTGCTGCTGGGTGCATTGGTACGGCTGGGGGCACTGGAATCACAGACCCACTGACGATGGTAGCAATGTGCTTGCAGGCGCGGTTGAGTGACACGTGGAGGCTGCTAGACAGTGTAGACGCGGAGATCAGGGGTAAATACCAAGGCAGGCGGACCAATGAGAAGGACGCCAGGAGCAGAGCGGCGCTGGTGAAGGGGTGGGCATTGAATGACTCCAGGCTGAGGATGCGAGCCAAGAGGATGAAGAAGTGAGGAGTCTATTGCAGAGGCTATGGAGGCGGCTATTGGTGAGGCTATTGTTGAAGCACCTTGCAAAAAGACTGGTCAGGTCGAATAACATCAGGCTGAGGATGAGAGCCAAGCCAGGAGAATGAGGAAGCGAGGAGGGGAAGGAAACGCTAAGGTGTGGAACAGCGGGAGGAGGGCAACGAATGTGGGTTCTTCCTCCTGGGATCGCTTTACGCTTGTGTTTGTTTATAAGCTTTTGGCTAGCCTGAGTTGTTAGTTTTTATGGTAGAGGTTGGGGTTAGTTTGTAGGATTGGTGTAAATAGAACACACGTTTATCTGTATGTATTATAATAATAGCACAAAGCAAGAATCTCAGTCCAGCCTGCCTGCCTCCCCGTCTGTCCCGGCCACTCTATACTAGACCATCATCACCATCTCCTAAAACAACGACCAACCAAATGCTTGGTCATAAAAATGCTCCACAAAATCCACCCCCTCAATTCCCTCCTCCCACTGACACCACCTCCTGCACAGCTGCATGCATCTCCTTGCAGATGCTCCCCTCTCCCAGCGACTTTTGAGACGTACGGTATCTAAAGCCGTCCACACCCTCAATTACCACTCCCTCCTCCCACTGACACCTCCACCTCCTGCACAGCCGCAAGCATCTCCTTGCAGTGGTCGCGCACGCACATGATGCTCCTCTCTCCCAGCGCGTACAGCAGCGCAGGGCCCCTCGCCTCCAGTGTGAACCCCACAGACGCCATGATCATCATCGCATCACCCAGCATCGCCAGCAGCAGATCTCTCTTGAACAGTGAAATGGAGGAACGGGGTAGGGGTGGCTGCTCCTGCTGCTGCTCCTGCCGAGCCTCCTGCTCCTGCTGCTCCTGCTGCTGCTCCTGCTGCTCCTGATAGCACTTCTCATAACATTTCAAATACGCATCAACAACCTCCTCTTCCAGCCTAACACGCGATCCCGGCTGCAGGGAGGACAGCAGCAGCCGGGCCAGGTCCACAACGCCCGGCGCACCCGCAGCCGTGTCCTGAAAGTCTATCAGCAGAGCCTCGTTCCTCCCCTTGTGGTACAGCACGTTCCCAGGGTTCGGATCCCCGTGAAGAATCCCCCTCAGGCTGCTGATACCAGTACCAGAACCAGAACCAGAACCAGAACCAGTACTAGAACCCGAACCAGTACGAGAAACCTTGCTGATATCACTGCGATCAGAGGAGTGAGCCGCATGGGGGAGCACAGCGGGCACAGCAGGGGGGAGTGTGATTGCGCGCATCAGCCCTGCATACCCTACCCGCGCGCTTGCGGCACACAGCGCGTGCAGCGGGGTCCCTGGTTCGGCATCCTGCGGGCAGAACCGGGTGACGAACTGGAGCATGAGGGCGGCGAGCTTGTCGGCGCTGTGCTCCACTGGGATCATCACCCGCGCGGCGCGGGAGTCAATCAGCTCGTTCCACGTCAGCAGCTGCTGATTCACAGTCCCGGAAACCTCCCCTCCACCTGGACCATCAGTGCTAGCACTACCGCTATCCCCAGCACTACCACCAGCAGCAGCGGCAGCAGAAAGGCTAAAATCAGCTGTGTGCAGCACAGCGAGCGCGTGGACAGTAGCGAGCAGCGCAGCGCGCGCCACATCTGGGCCTTCGGTCAGCTCCATGGACCACGCTGACAGCACCTCATACCCCGCCCCGTGCACCCCCTCGTGCCCTGTTTCCGCAGCCGCTTCGGGCTCATTAACAGTAGCAGTAGGGGTGAGAGTAGGGCAGCAGCTCACATCCTCGAGCAGGATGGCTTGGTCGGGATTTGCGTGATACGCGCGCGGAACCACCGCGGCCACGTGGCGCGAGCGCGGCGCCATGGCGAGCGTGTAGAACGCGGCCTCCACCCGATGCGCCTGCTTCACCATCGCGAGTATCGCGTCGCCTAGCTGGTGCTGCTGCGCCGTCGCCCCTGCTGACGTGTCCGGCGGCGGCGGGAGAAGCTTCATGAAGAGTGACCTGGCCGGATTTGATGAGTCGCCGGAATTCGCGCCGGGATCCGCGCCATGGGGAACGCGCGAAGCATCGGTGTAGGTGACGTCGAGGCGCGCTTTGACGATCGGGGAGAAGCCGCCGGCGAATGGCCGCACGGCCACTGACGCGACGGCTGTAGCCGGGAGGCCCAGCGCGGCGCTCAGCCACGTGGCGTCCACGTGGTCTTTGGTTGGCGGAGGCAGGGAGGCGACTTCGGCTGCACCGGTGCACGTGGTTGATGCGGCAGTACGCGCCGCAACAGGCGCCGCAGTGGGCGGGAGCATATTAGAAATCGACGCCACGGGGAGGTTGGCGGTTGGGTTGCGGTGCGGTGGAATAGGGTAACGAAACGGCGCCTAAGAAGGGTGAGTTCAGGTGGGGTGCAGTGCGGTGTGGTGGGATAGGTTAACAAAACGGCTCAGACAACTGAAACTTGCACAAAAAAACACCACCGTTGACGCTCCAGTGGAAGTGGATTTTTGGAGATGTGTCAAAGTTGAGGCCCACCATAAATCCTGCATATCCTTTTTTCCCCTATTCCCTCCTTCTTTCTTCCTCTCTCCTTTTTTCTACTCACGTTATTCCTCCTTTTCTCCTCTCTTCCCGTTTCCACTCCTTTTCCTTGCGTAATTATGCTACATTGTAATAACTAAACCATGCCTTATAGAGTGTATAAAGTGGTGTATTGATAAAAAAAAAACACAAAAAAATAAATCCTGCATATGATGGACAAGCCAATTTGCGCCCACAAGAGAGCGGCTGGGTTTGGTTTGGTCGGCCTGGTCGACCCGACCTGGTAACCTGCTCCAGCTCGGCTGGGTTGGGTTTGGTCGGCCTGGTCGACCCGGGCTGACCCGGGTCGACCCAACCCGGGTTGGTTTGGGTCGGGTCGACCTGGTCGGGTAGGTTGGCAGTGCGGGCTTCCTAGAAATTCGGGATCGGGGGGTGGTCGACCCGACCCGGGTGGGTCGCAACACGTCGTTAGCACTACTTGTCAGAATGATGAATGGATTATGCATTGATGTTGGTTGGGGTACATATAGCTAACCCTAAGTTTTGTACCCCCTAAGACAAACCTCACTATAGGCTACAACATTTGACACACCCCCATAGCCTAAGTGAGGGGTGTCTAGCAGAACCAAACGAGTACGGTCACAAGACCAGTCCAAGAAACGAAGCTCAGGGTGGATCACAACGTCACCACACAGTCTGAGCACAAACAACAGTGGCCACAAGGCCAGTCCAAGAAGTAACAGAGGTATATAGAAAGCAAAGTAAACAGTACACTCAAGCCTAAGCAACACGAGAACCAGTGTCAACAAGGCCTAACTGCACACAGCACCTCTGGTGGTCACAAGGCGGAAGCGCCTTGGTGAAGATGTCTGCAGTGTTGGCCTCGGACTCCACAAACTCAAAGCGAGCCTGTCCACGCCTCTGCAACTCTCGCAGAAGAAAGTACCTGACGTGAATGTGCTTCACTCTGCTCTCCAGTCGTGGCTCTCGACAAAGGAGAATAGACGCCTTGTTGTCAGTGAACAAGGTCGGTGCAGAGCTCGGCCGCTCACCAAGGTCGGTGAGCAAGAAGGTCAACCAACGCAGCTCCTGTGCCGCCATGGCACCAGCGTAGATCTCAGCCTCAGCTGTAGAGGTCGAGACCGAAGAGGAGCGCGTGGACCGCCAGGAAACAGCTCCAGAACCCAGGCTGAAACAGTACCCCTGAGTAGACCTGTGAGTCTCAGCGTCGTCAGCGTAAGAGGAGTCACAGTGACCAGTAAGTACGACAGACTGCTGCCCTCCAAGAACTAGCCCCACGCCTGACGTCGTCGCTAGGTACTTCGCCACCCTCACAGCTGCTGTCCAGTGAACAGGACGGTGTCTCCCTGGCGCAACAAAGCGCGCAAGAACGCTGAGAGGGAAGGCGAGGTCCGGGCGAGTACAAGTCATCAGGTACATGAGGCAACCCACAAGCTCTGCGTAGGGACCACTAGGCTCGAACGGCTCGTCAGGAAAGGGTCCAGTGAGTCTGTGGTCAACAGCAAGAGGTGTGCGCTGTACTGTGGAGTGCTGAAGCCCGAACCGCTGAAGGACCTGCTGCACCATGTGCGACTGTGAAAGTGTAATGGTGCGAGCAGCTCTGTCCCTGGTGATCTGCAGGCCAAGGTAGTGGCGCAGCTCACCAAGATCAGTGCAGGTGTGTCTCTTCTGCAGTTCGGACTTCACGTGTGCCAAAGCAACCCTGTCAGGGGTGGCGAAAACAAGGTCGTCAACGTAGACCAGAACAAAGAAAGGTGTGGGGCCACGACGAACGAACAGCGACGGGTCAGCAGAAGACGGCTGGAACCCAAGGTCAGACAGGGTAGAACGCAGGGTGTCGTGCCACTCACGAGGAGCCTGACGAAGACCGTAAACCGGTCGCCTCAGCCTCCACTGGGTCCCAGGAGGGAAAGAGCCAGTGAAGGCAGAGGGACGACGCAACCAGACCTCCTCGTGAAGACTGCCCTGAAGGAAAGCAGTAGAGAAGTCGAGAGAGTGTAACTCGTAGTCTCTCTGTGCTGCTACGTGTAGTAACACCCGAAGAGTGGTCATCTTCGGGGTGGGCGCGAAGGTCTGAAAGAAGTCAACTCCCTCGCGCTGACTGAAACCTCTAGCCACGTAGCGCGCCTTGAAGACCGGAGGAGATCCCGGTGGCCGCTTCACCCTGTAGATCCACATGCCGTCGACTACGTTCGCCCCCGGAGGGGGAACCTCATCGACGTAGGTGCCTGTGGATCTGTAGGAGGCCATCTCTGCGTCCATGGCAGCTCTCCACTGAGAGGCCCAAGGCCCTGACACTGCCTCAGCGTAAGTGCGAGGAGTCGGAATGTCAAGGGCGTCGGGGTCACCCTCAGGGGCGAGGAGCATGGCACAGAGATGAGGGGAAGCGGCGGCCAGGAACTCTAGCTCAAACTGCCTGTCCTCTAGGGCGTCACAGCCAAGGGCAGACACACCCCCGACGACCAGAGGACTGGAAGGAGGAGCAGCCACAAGAGCGGTGGCGAAGTCAAGGCGGCGGGTAGAGGCAAACTCAGTGACTGCGGCAGTAAGAGCGGACACAGAGGACACAGAGGCACGAGGGTGAGTAACAAGCGAGGCGAGAACACGAGAGAGAAGAGGACGGTACGTGCGGTAGTAGTCTGTGACAGGAGTAGGGAGCGACGCAGTGAGAGCCGACTCAGGAGGAGACGGAAGCACAGACGGAGACGGACGAGGTGGACTAGAACAAAGGAAGGCTGTACGAAGGTCAGTGAAGGGAACAGGAGACGAGGGACGAGCACGAGGGGAGCGACGAGAGGCCCAAGTCTGAGAAGGAGGAGGAGACAACGAAGACTGAGAACGAGGGAAAACAGCGGGAGAGGGGTCAGGAGGAGGAAGCGGAGGACCAGAGACGGGAGGAGAGGGGGAGGAGGAAGGAGAGGGAGACGGGAGACCAAGGGTCCGAAGACCCGAGACAGGAGGAGGAGACGGCAGCAGCTGCTGCTGCTGCTGCTGCTGCTGCTGCTGCTGCCGCGGCTGCTGTGGCTGCTGCTGCTCCAGCGGCTGCTGCCTCTGCTGCTGCTCCTGCTGCTGCTCCTGCTGCTGACGCTCCTGCTCCTCGAGCCGCTGCAACTCTCTCTCCTCTCTCTCCAACTCCAGCTGCTCCTCACGAGCACGGCGAACACGAGCCTGGAACCTGGTCGGGTAGGGGTGGGGGGAAGGAGTAGTGTCCGGGGCAGCGGCAGCCCCAGAGTCGACCTCCGAAGCACCAAGCACACCACCCCCAGAGGCAGCACCAACACCAGCTCCAGACCCAGGCTCTCCAGAAACCGAAGGGACACCCTCACCCCCAGACGCAGCACCCCCAGACTCCGCACCAGCACCCCCAGACTCCGCACGACCAGTACCAGCCCCCGGAAGACAAGAGTCCTCTGCAACCCGCGGCTCAGCTCCAACTCCAGCACCCCCAGAACCAGAGACCTGTACAGGGACAGTCGCAGGACCAACCTCCCGAGAGGGAGCACCTGCAGGAGGCGGCGAGGAAGACTGTGGGGAGGGAGGCTGTACAGGGGGGGCTACCGAAGGGGGAGGGCTAGCCTGAGACACACCAGACGGGGCTGGACCAGGGGGGGGAGGCTGTACCGGGGGAGCAGGCGGGGGAGCGGCTGTCAGGAAGAGGGGGGGAGGAGGAACCAGGAGACCTCGACTGGGGTACCTGACGTAGTACGGGGTGGACTCCTCGAAACGGACGTCACGGGAGTCAAAGAACCGGTGAGAGGGAGGGTGGTAAAAGGTGAAGTCAGAGGAGTCCTCAGGGAAACCAAGGAAGACACAAGGAACGGCGCGAGGCGAGAGCTTGTCCGCGGAGGTGTCGCGGACAAGAGCCAAGCACCCCCAGACACGAAACCTCGACGCGACACCAGGGGACCCTGTCCAAAGACTGGTCGGTGAAGCCTCCGGCCGAGAGACGCGTGGCCAGAGGTTCAGCTGGTGCGCGGCGTACCTGACTGCGTATGGCCACAGGAAATGGGGGGCACGGGCGTGAGTCAAGGAGGTGCGGGCAATCTCCATGACCAGGCCTATGCGACGCTCAGCAACCCCATTCTGCTGTGGGGACTCCGGAAGCGTCCAGGACTGACGAATGCCCTGTTCGCGACAGAATCCAGCGAGAATGCCGGAGCGAAACTCGCCCCCGCGGTCGGAGTGGAGACAGCTGACACGACGACCACGAGTGTCCTGGGTGGTAAGCAACCACCTGATCAGCGTAGAAGTCACCTCAGACTTCCTCGCCAGGGGGAACACTGTGGTATAGCGGGAGTAGTCGTCAACGACCACCAAAAAGAAACGCTCACGCTCAGGGCCAGGGCAAGGAGAGGGGCCCCAGACGTCCAAGTGCAGCGTCTCAAAAGGCTCGGTGGCCGGACGAAGGGAGGAGGAGTGAGGGGTGGCACGCACTCACCGTGCGGTCCTTGCGTCGAGGGTAGGCTGCGTGCCACCCCTCACTCCTCCTCCCTTCGTCCGGCCACCGAGCCTTTTGAGACACTGCACTTGGACGTCTGGGGCCCCTCTCCTCGCCCTGGCCCTGAGCGTGAGCGTTTCTTTTTTGTGGTCGTTGACGACTACTCCCGCTATACCACAGTGTTCCCCCTGGCGAGGAAGTCTGAGGTGACTTCTACGCTGATCAGGTGGTTGCTTACCACCCAGGACACTCGTGGTCGTCGTGTCAGCTGTCTCCACTCCGACCGCGGGGGCGAGTTTCGCTCCGGCATTC